TTCATTGAGCTTTGTTCTGTCCTTTGTTTTGTGGGCGGCCCTCTTTTGTGGTTGGGGGGGGGGGGGGGGGGGGGGTCCCCCCCCCCCCCCCCCAGCCCCAACTAGAAAAACTTGCAGCCCCCTACCTTAAGCTCAGGGCTTTGGGCTTCAGACACTGCAACATGTACATTTGCTTTCTGGGGCCCCAAGCAATTCCTCTGCTTTCTACCTCCTAAAGCCATCCCTGCTTGTGATCCTCTTAAACCCATCCAGTGACTACTTACCAAATAGATACACCAACTTAACTGAAATTGGGTGAGGTGATTTATCTTAAATAAAAATGAAATTTATTGGCATAGGATAAAAAAAATATTTAAAACCCTGCAAAATAAATTATACTTGAAAATAAAAATCTGTTCAGATACAATGACAAATTCACCACTAGGTGAACAAACAGCTTGTGCTGTGCTCTATGGAAATATCATCTACAGCATAAATGAACAGATTTTTTTTCCCTCTGTAAATCTAAAGACGGTAAAGGCATCAGTACACTTTATTTCAGCATGACTTTGTAAGCCTATGTAGTAGTGGTCTTCACATCTTGATATAGACTTCTTTCATTAGATGTGTTAATGAAGAGTTCATCCGGCTTAATATGAGTGAATCCCAGCAATATAATGCATTTCCCCTGTTAAACAAGCAAGGTTGATTGACACAAATTTTTCACAGGAAGGTCACTCTCATTGTTTTATATTAGCTTCTTGTTTCATAGATATTTCACTGTTTAAACACACTTTTTTTTAATGAGAGGTTTTTCCCTATTTCCACCAGATATTTTATCTAGGAGAGGGTAGCCAACTGTTGGTTCCAATATAGTCACAACAGACTTGTTGATTTGCTTTCAGAGCTTTCTTTTAATCTCGTGCGCTCGCTCTCTCTCTCTCTCTCCGTCTTGGAAGAATTCAATTTTTATTGATAAATATCGGTAAATATTGATTTCACCACACACACAGATGAAAAAGTATTTCCATTGATAATTAAAATTTACAGATAGAATAAGAAAAATGCTGCTTGAGAGTTTATTTATTTGATTTAAGGATATTTTACCTTGTATATTTTGACATGTGATGTTGACAATTTGTATTGTAACAGTTATAAAGCTTTTATTTTTTGAATCTCAACATCTATCATTAAATAATTATCTGACCCTCCCTTAATTTTCCACAGCTTTGAAAATGTAAATAGTTAACAATCTTTAAAAAAAAATCTTAAAAGTAAACAGGTATTAGTTGGACTAAAAGAGCAGTATTCATCAAAATTTTCTTAATGTCATGCAGATTTTAATGGTCCATTTCTACAGAAAGGAACTTCAAATGTCCTGGGAATCATTCAGCATTGGACCCAAAATTCACACTGAAGAACTTTGAGCCAGATTCTCAAGTGGTGCAAATCAATCTGCATAGTACCACTGAAGTCAATGGGGCCATACTAATTTGCACCAGCTGAGAATCTTGCTCAGAATCTACATATTTATCATGTGGGATTTTTGAGTTAAGGGTATTTTTTTTGTTTGGTTTTGGTATATTCAGGTGCCACCGAGTTACTGCTCTTAGCCCGCAGGACGGACTTGAGGCGCATTTCCTTGGATACCCCGGATTTTACAGACATTGTCTTGCAGCTGGAGGACATCCGTCATGCCATTGCTATTGACTATGATCCCGTGGAAGGATACATCTATTGGACTGATGATGAGGTGAGGGCCATTCGCCGCTCTTTCATAGATGGATCAGCTAGTCAGTTCGTTGTCACAGCACAGATTGCGCATCCCGATGGCATTGCTGTGGACTGGGTTGCCCGAAACCTTTACTGGACAGACACCGGTACTGACCGCATAGAGGTGACAAGACTTAACGGGACTATGAGAAAGATCTTGATATCAGAAGACTTGGAAGAACCGAGAGCAATCGTATTGGATCCCATGGTTGGGTAAGGAACTGTTTATAAGTGTTTTAGAAAGTTGTGTCGTTCAGAAATGTAATGTGGACCCTTTAACAATGGCAGAGATTCATTGTAGCACGCTGATGCCAAATACACACTGGTCTCTTTAAAAGGCAAACAAAAAATATAAACCCTAGTGATTTTTCTAATGGGGTTCAGGCCTGTCTGTATTGAAGAGTATAAATAATACCAATTTTTTAATCATGATATTAACTCAAACTTTCACTCATCTGACTTCTAACTGTAACATTATTTGGGCTATGCAGATGTACATACACTGCTTTGAAAATTTAAGAACAAGTGATCTTTAATTCCATTTGATTTGCGGGAGGTCTTACGTTTCCAAAGCTAAAATTCATTAGGTTTTTTTTCCAATCTCTTTCTCCTATTCTTTTCCTGTTTCTCGTTTTGCAATTTCTCAAAATTACTAAATAGATTACATCAGAACTGTTAGTGTCAGTTCTGGTTTAACACTGTGTTTGTACATCTCAAGCTGAAAAAGATTTTAAAAAAGTCAACCCTGACCCAAATATAAAACACAAACAAAAAATTAGTAAAATAGGAACTGATGTCTATATGTACATGCATGTAGATAGTGGAACATGAATATTACATATACTCTTTTTGCTTGAAATTAAAAAATCTGGATTATCTGAAAGTTACCAAATGGGGATGAATAAACTACTTCTACTTATTGATTAATTACTGGTCCTCTTTATTTCTTTCTGGTCTTTGCCCATGTTTCCAGATTTGAGTAACTAAGTAGAATTGGCTATTAATTCAAGCTCATTAAAAATGGCTATACAATTATGAAAATTGCAGTGGATTGTTATGGAAATTCTGTTAAACTGACCAGTGCATTTACACATATCAGCACCATTGAGGATATATTGCACAAGTTGAATTTTACCACCTTAGTGATAGAAATCATGTCCATTTGTCCTAGAAATGCGTTGGTCTGTATTGTATGTCTTCTGATCACACAGTTTTGGATTGGGGGTATGAGAGATGAGCTGCATGAATGTTGAAAGCATTGGTTTTAAAGTATTTGTAACTTCTCTTCTGCTCTCCATTGCAGATACATGTATTGGACTGACTGGGGAGAAATTCCAAAGATTGAGAGGGCTGCATTAGATGGGTCAGACAGAGTTGTGCTGGTGAATACTTCGCTTGGCTGGCCAAATGGACTGGCCCTGGATTATGCAGAAAGCAAAATATATTGGGGAGATGCAAAAACAGACAAAATTGAGGTTTGTTAATTGCATTTTTAATTAATTCTACACAGTTAAAACAATAGAGCAACTTCCATTTTTCTATATATAGACACTGATATATTTGCCATGAAGGTCTTCAGGAGGCAGCATGGGTGTGGAGGATTTACTCTGAATAAGGAACTCCTTAATTCTAATCCAAGTATTCAAGTGACTTCCTCTGTGGCCTTGGACAAGTCACTTCACTACTCTTCTTCAGTTTCTCTACCTATAAATGGGGAATAATAACCAGGTAATAGGTTTGGGGAGTGGGAATCAGTTGCTATTGGGAGGATTTGTTTAAAAAGGACACCTTTAAAAAAGGGAGCTAGATAGATTCATGGAAGATAGGTCCATCAATGGCTTTTAGCCAGGGTGGGCAGGAATGGTGTCCCTAGCCTCTGTTTGCCAGAAGCTGGGATTGGGTGACAGGGCATGGATCACGCGATAATAACCTGTCTGTTTATTCCCTTTGGAGCACCTGCCATTGGTCACTGTCAGAGTACAGGATACTGGACTTGATGAACCTTTGGTCTGACCCAGTGTGACCGTTCTTATGTTCCTAGTTTTTAAAAAAAACCAGATTTCCTTACTTACATTGGTAATAACACATTAGGAAAAAATTATGTAAACATACGTGCATTTTATTGTTTGTGTGTGTGTGTGTTTTTTTTCATTTCAGACCATTTTAAAATAGTCATTTTCACATATTTCTAGTCAATTTCATTTCCAAGTTCTTATATGCTTAGCACAATGTTGTTAGGGTTTCAAATATTGCAGGGGGAATAGGTTTCTCTCCTTCCCCCTTTCATTTCTTTCCATTATAATTTTTATTTAAAAAAGAAATGGGGAAGGACAAAATGAGGGAAGGGGGAGGACAAGAAACATTTCTATTTGCCATAGGCCAATTTTCATACATTTCAATTTTGGGCTAAATTTGGTCTCTCGTTGTGTCTAATGTACAAGCTTTTGAGACTGTAAACAACTGAATACCAAATATCATTATCACCAAAGTGGTACATGTGCTAAGGAGATGACTAGATCTCTGCTGTTTAAAAACAAACAAACAAAAAAAATTCACTTTTTGTGTAGCCTTAGTAGAAGTTGATCCTTTAACCTTGGAGAGAAAAAATTTAATTTAATTTGAGATGTTGCGTAGCCTGTTGATTTTGGTATTTATTGATTTTTTCTCCAAAAAAATTCCTGGATTTTGAAAAAGTCAGTATTTGGGTTTTTCCCAATTTTCACCAATTTTAGCTTTTTCAGGACCCAGGAATTTTTTGTGGAGGAAGTGGACGGGGCCAGGCACAGAAGGGGAGTGGAAGGCTGCATCCCATCCACTTCCCAGAGAGAGCCCCCTATTGGCCCCTGCCCTTCAGTTCAGCCCCATCTGCTTCCTGGGATCACACTGATTGACCAGGGGCAGAGTGGAGGGCTCTGTCCTGCAGGGGAAGTGGATGGCACTTTGTGCATGTGGTTTCGGCTGCTGGGACCGACCTCCCTCCCTGTCTCGCTTCCGCACTGTGTACCAGCCTGCAGTTAGATTCTGAGAGTACTGAGCTCCCTGCTGGACCAAGCCCTATCCTGACCCATATCCTTCAGCGTGGCCCCAGGAAGTGGACGGGGACATTCTGAAAGGCTGGGTTCAGGAGAGGGCCATGCCTGGCGGGAGTGGGGGGGTCAGTACTCCCAGGGTGTAGCCTACCGTTGTCTTGGCCATGCTGAACTGCCAGAGTCCCGTCTCCTTCCTCTGTGCAGCTAGGGAGCGAGAAAGGCAGGAAGTCAGATCCTAGGAGACGAGGCTACATCGCAAATACTCCCAACCCCTGTGAGTAGTAAGCATACCTCCTGCCCTATAGGGTGACCACCCATCCTGACAAGCATGAAATGTAGAGTCCAAGTCCTGGTCCTGGGCTCAATGACTCTAGGATAGCATTTGTCCTGGATTCCCTGCGGCACTGGTCTGCACCTGCCTGAGGTTCAGGGGTGACGCCTGCCTCTTTCTGGTGCGGGGTGTGGGGGGGGGAGAGGGGATGAGGCTGAGGTGGGCCTCACCATGGGGCCCCGCCCCCTGCTGCTCCTCCTCCTCTCTCCTCCCCCGCCCCCCAGGCCTCTGCCAGGCCAGAAGCCAGAGTCGGGTATGTAAGAACCACCCAGGGAGCCTGGGCAGCTGTGGGGAGCCCTGGAGTCCCAGACTCTCCACCTGCCCTAGGGCGGCGCACCCCAGAGGCTGGGCACACAGGCCAGAGGCTGCTCCAGGACAAATGGAGGGTCTGAGGTTCCCCACAGCAGCCTGGACTCCCTAGGTGGCTCTTACCACGGCCCTGCTCCAGCTTCCAGCCTAGCCATGGGGCTGGGCCTTGGGAGGAAGAGGAGGAGCAGGACCACACAGAGGGCAGGGTACCTGCATGTGTCCTGCTTTTGCCTTTTGAAAAGGTGGTTACCCTACTGCCCTGCCTTGCCCACTGCCCTTCATTTAATTATTTTTCACCCATTTTTAAAATTTTAGAATAAATACTGATAAATTCCTGTGACGTTCTTTAAAAAATAAAAACTCAAAATGAAGGGCCTTATGCATGGTCTAATCGTGGAACTGGTAGTCAGGAAAACTCAGCCTGCTCCTGGCTTGATAAGTGACCTTGTGTATGGACAAAGAGAGAGAGAGACATTTCAGTGTGCTTACGCATTATTGTATACAAGTAGATTTTCCGTATAAAATCATTAAATAGTGCTTGCTTTTTTGTTTTTCAATGTGTGGCATTACTCAAATAGTAATCTTATTGCATCACTAAAGAAGTCAGTGTCTCCTGCAAGCCAGATTTCTGGTTTGTTTGTGCCACATATGTGCTTTATTATTTATTTTTACGCACTGATTCATGCTACGCTTTTCTGGAGCCCCCAGACGATAATAAAACATCAGCAGGGGTTAATGGAGACTGGTAGGGGGTGCAGCAGGGAGCTTTTGTTCCTATTTTATCTGGCAGCCTGCAGCAGGCAGAAGCAGGCTGTGGCTCAAAAGCTTCCTCATTTATCTCGGTCAGGTTTCACTGCTGATAAACTTCTATTGAAATGGATGGCTGCTATTGTGCTTACCAGTGGGGAAGATTTCTCATTGACTTGCTACAGGTTTAAAGCATTTTCCTGCCGTGCTATGAGGTTAAAAATGTATGATCTGCTCTGTTGAATTGGTTTTATGTTTTCCTGCTCAAGTGAATATTCGTCTTCTGGACACGTATGCTACCTGTTTTAAGACATAGGCTGGATTTAAAATGGCCAATAAAACCTGTATTGATATAGCACGCGCGTGTGTCTTTGTGTTTAGAGGAAGCACATTGATACAGCTGGTTTCCTTGCAATTTTTCAGTGTGTTTTTGCTTCAGCTATCCTTTATCCATCCTCTTTCCTTTTCTCCATTCTTCTCAAATCCAGTGATGAAACAGACATACACCTACTGGGGTGGGCTTTGAGCAAGGACTGTGTACTTCCCATACAGATCCTAATGAATTTGAGTGCAGTTCTAACTTGGAGTGTTTCTGTATGCCCAACTCTATTTATCATGCCTAGCATTACTTTTCCTAACCCTGATGATTAATGGGGAATGTCTTTTATATCTTGCTTCTTTTCAGCATAAGTACACACATGCTTTCAGAACACAGCTTCATCGGGCAATAGAAAATGGAAGCTATTAAGATTTTTTTGGGGTACAAAGGACTTGAACAGAGAAGACCTTATTGTGTATGACCAGGGAATTAAAAGCTTGGCATCTGGAGAATGCTCCATTCTGCATTCTAATCCTGAAATTGTAGAGCTACATTTTCCTCTGATGACAACACCCTCTATTTCATCAGTACCCTAATAAGGAAATCTTGTTTTCCAAGCATTCAAAAAAAAAACTTGAGTAATTCTGTTTCTCCTATGTCTGTATATTGTGAAATACTGATGTATAGATAAGCTTGATTGCTTTTGTTCAACCCCCCACTTTTTAATAAAGCACTGAAAATTGAGAAGTAGGAACAGTTGACTCCCTGCCAAGTTGAACACACACGTTTGTGTGTGTAGTTACATTTAGACGGAACCAATATCTCTTGTAGATATTAGAAGTAAATGCAGATGAAGCATACATCTGAAACTGCTTTGCCTCTTAATTCTGGCCCTGGCATATTATACAAATGAGATACGTACAGTAACTCCTTGCTTAACGTTGTAGTTATGTTCCTGAAAAATGCTACTTTAAGCAAAACGATGTTAAGCGAATCCAATTTTCCCATAAGAATTAATGTAAATGGGGGGGGGGTTAGGTTCCAGGGAAATTTTTTTTGCCAGACAAAAGACTATATTTTATATATATATATACACACACACACATACACAGTATAAGTTTTTTAAACAATTTAATACTGTACACAGCAATGATGATTGTGAAGCTTGGTTGAAGTGGTGAAGTGAGAGGGTGGGATATTTCCCACAGAATGCCTTACTGCTAAATGATGAACTAGCACTCGGCTGAGCCCTCAAGGGTTAACACGTTGTTAATGCAGCCTCACACTCTACAAGGCAGCACGAATGGAGGGAGGGGAGACAGAGCCACACACCCTGTGTGTGAGAGAGAGAGACAGACACGCACATTGCCCCTTTAAGTATGGTGACCCCACTCTAAGTACATTGCCTTTTTAAGTAGATCAGCAAGTTGAGACAGCAGCTGCTGCCAGCAAGCTCCCTCTGTCCTGAGCCCTGTCGTCAGGGCCGGCTCCAGGGTTTTGGCCGCCCCAAGCAGCCAAAACCAAAAAAAAAAAAAAAAAGCCGCGATCGGGATCTAAAAAAAGCTGCGATCGCGATCTGTGGCGGCAATTCGGCGGGACGTCCTTCACTCCCAGGCGGAGTGAGGGACCGTCCGCCGAATTGCCGCCGAATACCTGGAACTACCGCCCCTGTCCGGAACAGCCGCCCCAAGCACCTGCTTGAGAAGCTGGTGCCTGGAGCCGGCCCTGCCTGTCGTGTCC